AGATAGATAGATAGATAGATAGATAGATAGATAGATAGATAGATAGATAGATAGATAGATAGATAGATAGATTTACCTGAGATGTGTGTTATCCAGGCTGTTGGTGGCACCATGACCGGGCGTCTGCGCTTGAAGCGCCAGTGTCCCCCCCAGGCCGACACATGGGACATGCCTTCATTGAGGTCCTTAATGGGAGGAAGAGGATATTGCTGATGAAGAATCACGTCCTCCTGTGCTCCCCCATATAAACCAGAGGAACGTTCCTCAAGTCACAAAACAGAAGAAAGAAGCTGCGTTTCTCCAGAATGCCTCACAGCTCCACCTGCCAAAGAGCTACGAAACACAGGTAAGAGCGGCTCAAGTGACGGCCTCGGGTTACAGCTCAACGGCTCCGGTGCTGGCAGAGGGTTTTGGTTACTCTGAATTCACAAAGAGGTGGGAACGTCACTCCTGAATTCTTGTTCTGATTTGGTTTGCGATATGACCTCTGTGACACATTCATATGGTTCTCGGTCAATCTCTGTTACAATAACGTGGCGTGGGATTTTGAGCACTGCAGCAGTCTGGATTATTCAAGGGTCAGGTCTGTGAGGCAGCGCTAAGGTAACACCTGAGACAAGGACATGCTCAGAGGCCAGAGTCCAAATGGAACAGGGTTTCTAATAACAGGCAAGGTCACCCGCAGCGTTACAAGAGAGCTTATCAGCACTGTAGATATTTGAGAAACGCTGGAGGAGGAGCTCTTCCCCACCGGACATGGATGGAATGAAAAAAGCAGCAAGAAATCTAAAGTGCTGCTTGACATGACATGCTTTGGACATGTACAGCGTGTCAGAGAGAGAAATACAATGGCATCTGTAATTATGGAATGCCTGATTCTGACTGGTCAATCACAGCAATCACACAAATATTTCTGTATAATGACTGCTACTACTACTTCTACTAAAGTTAAATGATTACAAATTATTTCTGTTAATTGAAATAAAGCTGAAGTAAAATAAAATATAAATATTAGATGGCAAAACTGTAAACATAAAAAAACTTGAAAAACTTACTAAACCTAAAACTGAATTTAAATCAATTAAAGCTAAATATAAATACAAAAAACAGCACAACAAAATTACAAACTATTTTCAGAAAAACCGAAACAAAAGCTAATTTAACAATTAAAAAATGTAATTACATAAATAATATTAAAATAACACTCCATCAGTTTACATCAGTGTGGTATTTTTCTTCTCACATAATGAAATAATTTAAAATATAATTATTAATAAGTGCAATAAGCTGAGGATAATATACAGCCTTCCTGGTTATTACCGCAAGATAAACCCAATAACTGAGTTCTTTTTTTAATAGCTGTGGTTTATTTTGTGATGTAACCACTGTACATTATCCCTTACATGTTACTGTTTTTTTGTTTATAATATTTATTTCTGAATATCCAACTGCCTTAACTTTTTCCACATAATGTGTCAGATAATCTTTTTAATAAAATGTGTCATATTATTCTTATACTAAAATATGATGCAAAATCATTATTATACATACTAATCATCAAATTATTTATCATAAGATTTGATCAGCATTTTAACTGCATAATTAGAGAGTTAGTAAAAATATACACAAAAAAAAAAGACGAGATAGGTGCTATTAAGTTGTTATAAAAACAATGATGATCTAATAATGATTACATTTTAGTACACTAATTACTTATGTGTCCTTAGGGCAAAATGTCATTGCACAGAAATGCATCAGAGGAGCGATATTAAACGAGTAATGGGTCAAACAATCTTCTAAGCATCCAGACAAACAACGCATGAGAGAATATCCTCCTTTACTCATGCACAAACACTCGACCCTCCCCTGCTTCATCTCACACAGTCAGACCTCATCATATATTGTCGTCTTAAAGGGATAGTTCACCCAAAAATGAAAATTTGATGTTTATCTGCTTACCCCCAGGGCATCCAAGATGTAGGTGACTCCTATTCATTTGAATCAGCCAATTAAGCAGCAGCTTAAAGGTTTTGTGGAAAAGAAGTTCAGGGTCAAGGCCGCTGCGCTAATCTCACCATCAGAGGAATGACTGCTGAACTGTGAGTGACAAAGACTGAGGTCACGTGACCTCAGCCATGCAATGGAACCAGACCGATGTCTGAACTGCAACTGCAATTTATATGATATCAAATTGGTATAAAACAATTCATTTTTAATTATTTCAAACATTACATAAACCCATAAATCCTAATCACTGTGGGTTCCATCATGAATTTCCTGATTTAAAAAAAAAAAGGATTTTAACCCTTGTGCTTTATTATTGTACTGAATGTGCACTTGTAGTGTACTTCAAATCTTAAAAGTATATTTTTAAAAACTGTACTTGCAAATAATATAATACTAATGAACTAAAAGGCCACTTGTACTTAAAGAGAGTACACTTTTATAACTATGTTTGTTAACACAGGTACGCTTTTAAAATGTGCATTGTAATGTTGTCACGTTAGTTCGCACAGTATATTCTTTTGAAGTATTCTATTTTAAAGTATGCTAAAGTGTATTTTGTCACAAGAGTCTGTAAACATATTTTACTGACTTTCACGTTTCGTTCTGCAACAGAATTACACATTTAAGGTAGTTAAATAACAATAATAAAAAACATGAAAATCTTATGTCGTTAACATTGTAATGACAGCACAAAATATTTTTTACATACAGCCAAACCATTTTTACATGCTTCAGAGAACTAAACGCCCATTGGCTGGTCAAGGTAGGCGTGAGCATTATGTCAGCAGAGCGTAACCAAACAAGAGAATTTAAAGATGAGGGATGATCAACTCAACATTACTTCAGGTTCGCGATTACAGGAAGTCACGCTTCAGTTTTTCTCCACGAAAACATTTTCTGTTAAATAATAAGTGGTTGTAGCATTACAGTATGGTTGTTTTTGTATTACAAACTGTTGTTATGTGCTCAGTGAGCTGGTTATTCATATCGCGGGGTTCCAGGATGTTGATATGGAGCGAGAGATCTCCTGCGTTTATCATCTCTGTGAGAGTCTTGGGCAAACATGGCGGCGGTGACACCAGTGCGGTGTTCTCTGAGAATACTGAGACGTCTGGTGAGTTTATAAACAATGATGCTATCTTTGGATATCACATATACAACGCACAGAGTGTCAGTTACCTTGTCAAATCTTTTTAGCGAACATGTAAAACTTATAATATAATAATGAACTGCTGAGGTGCTCAGTCCAGTACTCTGTTAAAGTCAGTTAAGTTACTGCATACACTATTCAAACCAAACAGACCTAGTGTCATGAATGTCATGAAATGTTATGCAATTTCAAAAAATTAATTTCTGTGTCTTGTGTATATATATATATTTTTCACTGATCTCTGGTTGAAAACCTGGGTTTAATGTATTAGTTAAAGCAGTAATTGGCATGAGCAGAGTTTGAATGGTCTTGCTTGTGTGCATCACAGCCTCGGGTTGTATCCCATCGCCTCCAGCAGTGTCCCAGGCTCCAGGCTCTTGGACCGACCCCTGTATTTCACATCTCCACACCCCTCACTTCAGTCCACTGGAGAGGCTTCAGATGCAGCCATGGTATGTGCTGCAAGCGTGAAATGTTCAAACAGGCATATTGGCTTGTACAACACATTAGTAGCCCTGATTTTTCTGTGTGTATGTAATTGCTGTCTTGATAAACTGGACTGCTGCAGTATACATTTGTTTGTACTTTCAGTGGCCTCTGGACAGGTGCTGCAGTTCAAACTCTCAGACATTGGAGAGGGCATAATGGAAGTGACCGTAAAAGAGTGGTAAGCTCATGTCATTTGTCTTGTAAAATGCTGCAACAGATTTTAAAGGGGTAGTTCACCCGGAATTGAACATTTTGACATTTACTTACCCTTATGTAGGGCTACACGATTAATCGAATGCGATTGTCATGCACATTTTGTTAAAAAAGCCGGTTCTGTAATCAGCAGGATATCATCATCACGTGCTTTCAGATGGAGCAGAATTTACTACACATAGCTGTAGTTCACTGACAAGTTACACAAAAAAAATCGCAGACGAATTTATTGCGCAATTCTGAAATCGAAGAAATCGTTCGCGATAATGAGAGCGGTTTGCATAGCTTCTCAGTGAACTACGGCTCTGTGTAGTAAATGCTGCTCCATCTGAAAGCATGTGAAAATACCGCATTTAATAACATTTTTACTCCAAACTAACTTCATAACGTCAGTCGAGTGTTTGAAATAAATCCTTATGTCGTTTGTTTCTTCTGATGAACACAAGAGAAGAATGTTGATAAGCAGGCAGTTTCATGTCCCATTGATATTCATATATATATATTAGTGCCGTCAAACAATTAATCGCGATTAATTGCATCCAAAATAAGTTTTTGTTTACATAATATATGTCTGTGTACTGTGTATATTTATTATGTATATATAAATACACACATATATTTTGAAAATATTTACATGTGTATATATATTTATATTCTTATATTTTATGTAAATATATTTAATATATAAACATATTTTTCTTAAATATATAAATGCATGTGTGTGTATTTTTTTATATATATATACACACAGAACACACACTTATATTATGTAAACAAAAACATCTATTTTGGATGCGATTAATCAGTTGACCGCACTAAATATTACATAATATTATAATATAATGAAATTTTTGCACATTTTTAAAGTCACAATGAAATGGAAGTAGCAACAGATTTTTGTGACAGGTTTATTACTGTTAACTAAAACCATAAACAGTTATTTCAGCTAACTGCAAAGACAACATTTCTCTTTTTTGTTTAGTTTAAAATAACTAAAACATAATAAAAACAGATGAATGGGAGTTTGTGGGGTTGGGTTTAAGCATCTGCATATGTCCAGTTATGACCTTTTTGATTAAACATAAAAAGAGGTACATTAAAAATAAAAACATGTGGATGAATTGTTTAGAGGTCTATATAACAAGATCTATAACTTTTATAACGTGAATTTTCATTTCATGCCGACTTAAACACATCAGCATTGTCAGCACTCGCATTTTCATCGCATAAAAATAAACTAGTTTCAGTTTTGTTAGTGTTACAGCTTAAACATTATAGGTGCAAAATATTTGAGGACTTTTGTCAATTAGCATAGGAATCAGTAAATAGTAGTAAAGGTTTATTTTACTGATTGACCCATATAATATATATTTATTTTGGAGTAAATATTCCAAAAAAATGTATGCTGTTGTTTTGCTTCTCTGTCTTTATGCAGGTATGTCAAAGAAGGGGACAGAGTCTCCCAGTTTGACAGCATTTGTGAAGTCCAGAGCGACAAAGCATCTGTCACCATCACGAGCCGTTATGACGGCATCATCCGTAAACTGTATTATGACGTAGATGCTATCGCACATGTTGGTTCACCTCTTGTGGACATCGAAACGGACAAAGCGCTGGGTCAGTCACTGCTGTGGATCGTATTTTTGATGCTGACTTTGAAATGTCCTTCCAGTTCTGTCATTGTGTAGTAAAATAGTTTGGTCTGTTGTCCTGCAGAGGGCGCCCCAGAGGAAGATGTGGTAGAGACTCCAGCAATATCCCATGAGCAATCACATCAGGAAATCAAGGGCCAAAAAACCCAGGCGACACCAGCGGTGCGCCGTCTGGCCATGGAGAACAATGTAATTTTGAATTGCATCAGGCTGTAACCACCTACAACACCCTGTCATTGTGGCTTTATCGTGTTCCTGGTCATTTCTGATCTCTAAATCTGTCCTCTACTAGATTAAACTAAGTGAGGTGGTCGGGACAGGAAAAGACGGCCGTATTTTGAAAGAAGACATTATCAATTTCTTAGCCAAGCAGACAGGAGCTATCCTCCCGTATGAAGTCCAGAAAACCCCATCACCCACTGCAGATACCCCACCCAAAGAAAAGACGCCCATCATGGCTCCTCCGGCGATCCCGAGACCCGTCTTCACCTGGAAAGACAGGACAGAGCCTCTGAACGGTGAGTGTTTATGTTGTTGTACATGGGTCGTGCATACAATAACTAAAAACACCTCTTCTGTGATTAGCATATTTTTAATTTCTGGATTTAAATTATTTTTTAATTTTGAAATTTTATGTGGGGAGGTATTAAAAAAAAGACAGCCTTATTAAGTAGTCGTCTTTTATTTTATTTTTATCTTTTAGTATCTACTATTATTTCTTAAGTCATGTGGTGCGACCCCCAAAAAATTTAATATTTAGGAATTAACAGTTCATGATTTTCAATACTTTGCAAAATATATGAATACATTTTTCTGAAAATGATAATGTGTACAATTACATATATTCGATGTGAGGAAAATGTTTTTACTGGGTTGCACCATGTGACGTTTTCAGAGTCATCAGGTTTTATAAAACCTAATGAAACAAACATGAATACAAAAAGTATCTGTATAAAGGGTAATTCTAAGATAAATATATCGATAACTATATTAGTCTCCACAGCAATGCTCAAATATTTATGTATGCGTTTCAGTTTTGCCATCTGCTGCTTTAAGATATTTAAGATCCGTTCACACCAAGAATGATAACTAATGCTAAATTAGCATTCACAGCAAAGCAAAATAATGCTCAGTTTATATAATTGTGTGCTGCAGTTTTGTTGTCTGCAAATACTCAAACTCTTGAAAGCCATGTGTATTCTGATTGGCTGTCAATGTTTTTATTGTTCATCAAACAGAAAAAATCATTCTGAAAGTGATTCCAGTGTTGTCGTTTCTCTGTGTTGTTATTGTCATAATTGTGGTGTTGATGTCACTATTCTCACAGAATTAGAATGAATATTAAAACTTTATAGTTATAGTTATCGTCCTTGGTGCAATGGGCCTTAAGAACTTGCTGCATGTTTCTAACTCAACTTTAAAAAGATATCCCCCTTTTTTAAATGGTGACTAGGGCTGTCAAAATGATGAAAAACTAAATTCGAATTTTCAACTTAAACATGATCAAAATTCGAATTATATTCGAATTTAAAAGGCATAATTTCAGTTAGGGGAAAAAAAGCTTTTGGCTTCTCTCCTGAGGCCACAAGAGGGTGCATCGCACAAAATATTATGCATGTTTCTTCAAAGCGTAATAAAATAACAGGACTATCTTTGGAAAAAAAAGTGCATAATGTTTAAAATAATGTTTATTAACCATATATAATTAATAAAGTTGCTTAAACAATTAGAAAAAAACCCAGCACCATGCATGTATGTATAGTTTAATACAAAGGACCGAAAACCAATCACAAAGAGTAGGCTACTTTCTTCATTTAAAAACATGAGCTACAGTGGGATGGGGAAAAACTGCCATAAAGTCTTGAGACATGTTTTTTAAAAGTTGATCTTACATTAATTTTACATGGCTTTCTAAACATGCCGCTCTCTTGTGCCAGATGCGAGTGCAACGCTGATAGATGTCCATCTAGAAAATGTGATAAATATGCATTCTGTGTGAACGGCTTGGTTTCAGTTTTGACATAAACAACATCTCCACACTGATGCTTTCGTTTTCCGCAGTATATTGAATGAACAACGTAGCAGCGCCGCATCTAGTGGGTTCAACTGGATAGGCTAACAAAAGCAATGACACTTACATCGTTGTTGCATCTCGTGCGCCACTGATGGGCTGCCTGACGGCTGATGCAGACCTAAAATTCGAATGCAACGTTTTTGCATTCGAATGGATTTTTTTTTATTCAACGAATATTCGAAATTTGAATTTTTTTTTGACAGCCCTAATGATGACACTCTTATTTGTCATTGATTCACATGTTCTTGATTGGCTGTCTCTCCCATATGGTAATGAACGCAGGTTTCCAGAAGGCCATGGCGAAGAGCATGACTGCTGCTCTGAAGATTCCTCACTTCGGTTACTGTGAGGAGGTCGACCTGACGCAGCTAGTGCGGTTACGCTCCGAGCTGAAGGACCTGGTGGAGTCTCGCGGTGTCAAACTCAGCTACATGCCTTTCTTTATCAAGGTGCTCTCCTGTTACCTTCCACCACTGCCACCTGTTTCTATTCAGACACATTAAACATTCAAGGACCATCACGCTATCAGATCAAATACTTCAAACATCTTTTTAAATCGAAATAAAAAAATTAATTAGTAAAATGAAATTAAAATATGATTTTAAATATGCATTTTTGTAGTTAAACTAAAACTACTATATATATATATATATATATACACACACACACACACACACACACACAACACACACACACACACAGATATATATATATATATATATATATTAGTTTATTTGCAAAAACGGATAACGGAATCATGTTTTTTATTGTGTTATCATGTTTTTGTGTTTTATTGTGTTAGTTAGCTGTATTTTTAGATATTATTATTTAATCAAAACAACCCAACTGCAGTTTGATTGATATTAATTGGAATGCAGGATAAAAAAAAACATGATTTTTGAACAGTTTTAAAAACAGAATGGCTCTTTACTTATATTTAAAATAAAATATTTCTATGAAAGGCAGGAAATGTCAGAGAGGGAGAGAGAGATTAAATGTGTACACTTGCTTTAACTATGTGAATATTAAAGGGATAGTTCACCCAAAAATAAGTTCACCCAAAAATGATAAGTTCACCCTCAAGTTGTTCCAAACCTGTTTGGAGTTTGTTTCTTCTGTTGAAGAAGATATTTTGAAGAATGTGGGTAACCAAACAGTTTCTGGTACCCATTGACTTCCATAGTGTTTTTTCAAACATACCATGGGAGTTAATGAAAAGAGAAATTTCTTCTTTTACATTCAACAGAAGTAAGGAACTCATACAGGTTTGGACCAACCTGAGGGTGAGTAAATGATGACACTGTTTTCTTTTTTTGGTGAACTATTCCTTTAACTCCAGGTGTTTGCGGTCAGATTATAATTATAGCTTGTATTTTTACTGTTTTGTTTAGGCCACGTCACTCGGGCTCTTGCAGTTTCCTGCTCTCAATGCCTTTGTGGATGAAGGCTGCCAGAACATCACATTCAAGGCAAGACCAGCCCCAAAACACTTCAGTCACATCACAGCCTTTCATTTTGAGGCCATGGTTTGCTTAAAAGTCCTAAACAGCCCAACATGAGTAACATTTTCATTGTTGTCAGGCGTCTCATAACATCGGCTTGGCAATGGACACTGCTCAGGGCCTCCTGGTGCCCAATGTGAAGAGCGTTCAGGCCCTCAGTATTTTTGACATTGCTGTGGAGCTCAACCGTCTGCAGGCTCTGGGTTCAGCCGGACAGCTGGGCACCGCTGACCTCACTGGAGGAACTTTCACACTCTCCAACATCGGCTCGGTGAGACTCCACCCGCCTGGTTTTAGACTTTGGATGCAGAAAACTGCAGACTTTTTCCTCAAAAAAAAAACTGCAGACTTTTTTCCCAAGTGTGCAGTTTTTACAGCTCTAGTGCCACCAAATTGAATTGCAACAATAACTGTGACTAAACAGGTTTCTGAAAACATTTCATAACGTCATTCGATGCTTGAACAGATTGCAGTTATTTTTTTACGCCACTAGTGGTGCATAAATGACACGCTGTATTTGGTCTGGAACACTGTATCACCTTGTTTTGGGCCTCATGATCATTATGCTGTCATTTTTGAAGGTTATACTGTATATGAGAGTCCCAAGAGCTTATTTTATGAGCTAAGCACTCAAACAACAGCAGGCTTTCAATGGGCTTCTATTTGCTGTCTAGCGATGATCAGATCTCTCATCATAAGGGAATTAAAACAGTCGTTTTTTTGTTTAGATTGGAGGGACGTATGCCAAGCCGGTGATTCTGCCTCCGGAGGTGGCCATCGGAGCTTTGGGAAAGATCCAGGTGAGCTGCTTGTTTTCTTCACCATTTAATAAAAAATGTATTTGTATTTAAGGAGGTGATCATATTGAATTATTGGATCTACGATAAGTTGATTTTATGTATTCTTTAGTGTAGACTGTCATTATAATAACGCATATATGCCCAGCATATCAACAGTATCTTAAAGAGTAAGTGAAATACTCTCTTTTTGTCCCATCTATTTATTAAAAAATACATTAAAATGGAACTCATACATACTGTAATTCTAACATACGTCTTTATGAGCATATTTTCAGAACAATTTTTTTTTTTTTTTTGACTGGGCATAAACTCGTAAAAAACTCAAATAAAGGGTGATGCAACTGTGCTGATGTCATGAAAAAAGGTTAGTTTGGCATAATCTGTATAATAAATTATATAATTATTATTTATTTTATTCTTTAAATTACAATGTGGCTTTGCAGCATTTTAATATAATTTTTTCCACTAAATTAAAGTCATGTGATGCAACCATCATGCATAAATGAACACACAAACAGAAAATGATATCATAGAGTGGACTCTAAGGTCAAAAAGCCTCTTAAAATATCAGATAATTTGATCTTTTTATGACAAGTTTTTTTACTACAGTATGTACACTACCATGTATTTAAGGTTTTATTAAAATATGTAATTACTTTTTTACTTCATGGTTACACCACATGACATTTTAGAATCATTAAATTGCCACATCTCTTGTAATAGTGTAAAAGTTGACCAGAATTGTATGAAACTAACATAAATACAGTTCACGAGTTTAAGAACTTCTTTTAAAAAAATTTCACCTTTCTTAACCGTTGTTTAACAAATTTCAGTAGGATTTCATTAGGACTCCATGTGGTTGTGAGTTTTTATCAACAGCAAGCAGCTTGTTTTGAAAGTGACTTCTGTGAGCTGTGCTTCAAAAATCGCTACACTCTTGACCGTAAATAATGGACCTTTTTTGCCTGCAGATTTTCACAGAAATTTTGCTCATTCCACACCTTTAAGCTAAAAGCCGTTTCTCTGCTTTATCACAGGTGCTGCCCTGGTTTAACTCCTGTGACGAGGTAGTGAAGGCGTACATCATGAATGTCAGCTGGTCTGCCGATCATCGCGTCATTGACGGCGCCACCATGTCCCGCTTCTCCAACCTGTGGCGCTCTTACCTGGAGAACCCAGCTTCCATGGTCCTGGACCTCAAATGAACACTGCTCTGGAAATCAGATCTCGCTGTCTGTTACTTCCTGGAGTGTCTTTAGGTTACTCGTAGCTGCAAAACAGTGTCGTGTCTATCATGTGAACACTCACGTTTCTGCTTTCACATTCATCTGTGAGGAAAAACAACTAAGTTCTTTCTCTAGTTGCCTTAATTCAGATTAAAGACTGTTACTGTAACTTGACATAGCAAAACACTCATCGTATGTTATTGAAAATGCTTTTAAGGAGCAGGCGCTGCGCATTTCAATTTTTTTCTCTTGCTGTGCATCATGCATGATCTGAAATCACCTGTAGGTTTTCTGATGCCTTGTTTATAGAGGACGTAGGCTGACACTGACTGGCTCTTGGACACATCTGTACTGTAGCGTCTCATTGTCTGCTGACTTTCTCTGAGACTTCATTCACACAAGCCTCTGTTGAGCTGACAGACGGCCACTTCATCTAAAACCACTTGTGTGCCAATGTGTCTGGATGTCATTGTGAAGAAAGGACCATCATTTAACTGTTAAAAGAACAAATGGACCACACATGTATAGATAACTAAAATGTGAGGAGAATGTGAGGTTTTATGGCAAGCTGTATTGCTTTTTGCATCATAACATTCATTAAATACTGAAAGACGCAATTGCTTAATGATGAACAGATTTAATTTAGGCTTTGAGGCTTAAGATCTTGACACTCAAACAATTACATGATGTGAGAACAGACATGTTTAAGCTTCCGTTTACTATATTTGATCAAAGTTAATACATAAATAAAAGCTTAAATGAAAACGGTTTATCATGTAAAGCGAACATGTCTTTTCAGAAGGCTTGGATTAATAATGGATTAGTTTTATGATCTCTTCGTGAAGTTTTTGAAGCTTCAAAGTTTTGGTGGAATAGACTTTCAATGGAGAGACATCTTGGTCACACTTTATATTAGGTGGTCTTAAGTACTAGGTACTAACATTAAATACCTAACAAGACTGGATTTTCTGGGAAACTACATGCAAGTGAGGTACAGTTAGGATTAGGGTTATAGGGGTTAGTGTGTTGGGTTACAGTTCGGGGTACACTTAACAGTGTAACTACAACTCAAGTACTTTAAATGTAGTTAAAATGGACTAAGTATGTACATAAGTATACTGTAACCAATGGTTAAATACATAGTAGTTACAGGGATAGTTCGACCAAAAATGAAAATTGTCATTTACTTACCCTCAAGTTGTTTCTTCTGCTGAACACAAAAGATGATATTTTCAAGAATGTAGGTAACCAAACTAATGGTTGACCATTATTGTTTTGTTTTTTTTGACAGCCGATGCCGATATCTTACAGAGCAGGGTGGCCAGTGGCCGATATAAAGCCTAGACAGATGGATAGATAGGTCAGACATACTTATACTTTAGATGACAACTTCTTGATTCTGTAATTCTATTACATATAGCAGCATAGTTTGAAATCACGAGTTCGAAGTTTCTTGATCGTGTGTCTCGAATAAAGCTGCGGAGTACACGATCGTGTCTATTTTTCTCATTTCGAAATATAAATCTTAAATGCCAGTCAAAAATGAGTACAAATGCCATGAGAAAATATCAACAGAGAAACCTTGTTTTTTGTAGTTTTGGTCCAAGCATTTACTTGGGACAGTAGTACATGACATAGTATGAGAGGTGTAGCCGGTGAGTCTTTTGGGTATTGCATGAATGTAAGGTGAGATTAGCTCAGGTTGTAAAATGTCATGTGGTGCGACTCCCTAAAAACACTACTGATAAATGCATTTTAAATATATATATATATATATATATATATACAGTGGGTACGGAAAGTATCTCGAATAAAGCTGCGGAGTACACGATCGTGTCTATTTTTCTCATTTCGAAATATAAATCTTAAATGCCAGTCAAAAATGAGTACAAATGCCATGAGAAAATATCAACAGAGAAACCTTGTTTTTTGTAGTTTTGGTCCAAGCATTTACTTGGGACAGTAGTACATGACATAGTATGAGAGGTGTAGCCGGTGAGTCTTTTGGGTATTGCATGAATGTGCGACCGCAGTACCTCCTGTCTTACATCCATCTCATTCACAGACAGCTAGGCTTTCAGAGGTACAAATACAGATTTTTGATTGGAATGGATTATAAACCATCATATGAGAACTACCTGGGCATAATCGTTCAGAAACCCATCCTTACATAATTTATCACACCGAATTGAATGTGATTACTTATGCAACAAGTTTTACGAATGATTCACACAGAAACTCATTGTGCTCGTGTGTCAGCCAAAGATTCAGCTGAAAAGAAAAGGGAGGTGTCGTTTCTCCCAGAACCTCTGAAAACCGTCAGGTGGTCTAAGAATTAGTCAAACTCTGGAAGACACTGGCTGAAAATTAAACATAAAAACAAGATCGCAGACATGGAATGCTACTTCAGTGGAATGTGATTGCTGAATAAGATTTGTGTGTGTTTAACAAGCTTTAAGATACAACAAAACGGGGTTTCAGGATGATCATATGTAGGAAGCAAAATGACAGCTAAGGAGAAGTTCTCAAGGAATGCTTCTGATATTTGGCTTGCTCTTAACATGAGCCTGACACTTCTAAAGCTAAGGGTGTTTTTCTCTTTCTGAGTCTACAATGCAGCACCTCTTCAACCTGGATTGACTTTAAGACATGTGAAACAAACATAAGCAGACACTCTCATTTGGCATTTTAGAGCAGGTAACTACATTGTTGGTTTGTGTTTAAACCAACTGGCAAAGTATTTCAATAAATATTAATCAAATCAGTATTTTTTCTTCAGAGCCACCTGAGGGTCGGTCAAAAGCATGCAGAGGTTCTGGGTTAAAGGTCCAAGGTAAATCCTTACTATATTTAAAAGATTTCCTTTAAAGCAATGTTCAAGGCATCTCTCCTTCACATAAATAACAATGTGCATTGAAAAAAAAAAAAGTATAAATTGTCATTTTCATGAATGAGGGTAACCAGTCCATATGTCTGCTACATGAATGTCTTCATACTCTCATCATAAAAGTCTTTAAAAACAAAGTATCCAAACCGATTGATTGATCACGACTGCTGCAATGACGTGTCAATAGTTTATATGAGCGTGGTCCCATCAAGCGGTTTGTGAACTGACGTATATATACACCGTCCATTGAATTACATTTTTGTTTCTTCCATATACTGGATCTTCACAAAAATGTTCAAGGCAGTAACGAAGGAATCATAAACAGTACAGTAACTAAGAAATGGCTGCTCCTGTTGCGTGTGTGAATCAGTGAGGTCTCGGTGTGAAATGTGTGTGTAGTCAGGCAGCTTTGTGATGGATTGATTGGATAGCTTTTGAAGTCGAAGCTCACTGAGGTCTATGGTCCTGTAAAAAACAATTTCTCAAGCCACTGTGGACGCAAGGGTCAGGTGTCGTCATCGGTGTCCTCTATCAGGACTTTGGTGTCTCGGACCTTCGACCTGAAAATAAAAAAAGAAAAGAAATTGTTGAGTTTCATCAAACTCAATGAAATCTCATGAGGACATTTGTATGACGGCGCTTGGAGTCTTACAGGGCACTTTCCACAAACAGGGCCCCTGATGTCCTGTTACTTTTTAATAAAGGCATAAACCCTTGATTAAAAATGGTCTTTTTAATAAAGAGAGAACTACTACACTATTAAATCTTGTTTAAATTTAATATAAAAAAAAACTTTACCTTAACTCATGTACGTCAACACACCAAAACTTTATTATTTTCTCAACAATTCAACCTCATTTTCAAAGTTGTTTTAAGAAAGACAATTTTTTTCCTCAAGTTAAGCAAAATACACATTTACTGTATCAATAACAACAAACCAACAGTTGGCCCGAAACTGCTTGACACCTATTTTTTATGGCTAAATCTGTAACCCTGTCGCTCATTCTAAAGTTAGCCATTTACATTTTTTGAACAGAAAATGTTCATTACTTCAAAATTTAAATAAAATAAAAAAATTCCCAAATTTTCGGACGGTTAAGTGGACGGTTTTTTTGCAAAGAAAACAAAAAATACATTTACAATTTTTTTTTTGTGGTTTCAATACCTATTTTTTACCCTCTCTATGGAAAATGCCACTAGAACTGTTGAGGTCTTTGTAAAATAGCTAAGACTTTGCTAGTGTCACTAATATTTATTAGCATTTCTAGAGGAAATTGCAAGGATAATAAGCTTTTTGAGCTTGTATTTAAACCAGTGGTTCTCAAACGGGGCTGGGGCCCATTAAGGGGCCTCTGCAAACTTTCAAGGGGCCTCAAGATAACTTAAAATTATTTAAAATGACACAAAACAAGCATTAAAATGATCTAAAACAACTAAACCTCCTGGCTAATAAAATAATCTTTTAATTCACCCCTTCAACATTTTTTACAGTGTTTTCCCACTGTAAAAACCACTTCCACTTGGAAAACACAGGACAATTGTTCTTAATTCTTATCCAGTACATCAAAAGTAACTGGAAAAGCCAGGTGAATTAATTGGTTAAAAAGTTTAAAATTTCCTAAAACGTCTGGACTCCTGAAATGTAAATGTAACAGAAACTAGACATGTCGGCCGTTGAATATTGTTGTAGACAAATGGGGGGATTCAACAAGATTGAGAACCACTAATTTAAATCAATCTTGCTGAACAAATCTCATTCTTATGTATTCTATGTCTGGATTTGTGTCTGTGAGGCTGATCGTACTGGGAGGAGAGGCGTGGTCTTCTCAAGGACATGCTGTAGCTTCTCTTCCAGTTCTTCTTTCCCTGTCTGTTCCTGACACCATCCTCCTGGTCCATCATCTGCTCCAGCAGCGTCTGGTCATCAGCATTTAGAGGCGCTACTGAGATGTCCCGCACAGCTCTGAACTCACCACAGTTATTCAGATGCTCGTTTTCCAGACGGAAGAAGTTCCAAACAAAGCGCCTAAAACAGACAACAGATTATAAGGATGGGTTACTTTACTGTGTCCTGCTGAAAATTCATATGCAATTACTTTGAGCAGACATTGATGGGGATGGAGGCATGATAAATATAAACAGTGAATACATAGATTAAGTCATGTTTTCTGACTGGTCAATAAAGTACTCCTGTAATGCTAAAATAGAAAACAGCTGACATGAAAAACCTGTCCATCATTTCAAAAAGGTCACTGCAGAGGATCCACTGGTGAGCAAGTGATGTAATGCTACATTTTTCCAAATTTCCGTCCGAAGAAACAAACTCGTACATCTTGGGTGGCTTAAGTGTGAGTAAATTTTCAACATATTATAATTGTTTGGGAAAACCATTCTTTTCACCACAGGTTGTGGGTAGAAATGGTTGTATGAATGTATGGATATATGCTGATGTGCTTACCTGAAGACCTCCAGTGGTGCAAGGACAGTTGCTAAAATATCAGAAATGTTTGGGAATGTAGTCACAACCCCAAGAGAAAGTGGAATGGTCCATGCAAAGCGTAAGATCACATCTTCTATTATGGCACAGTAGTAGTAAGCCTGTTCCAAGAGAGCACACAAATCAACACAATGACAGTGTAAATGCCGTGAAGTGGACTATTCCTTTAAAAAAATATTGTAATGGT